GCGCTAAAACCATTGATGAGTCATGGCCTACTGATCTTGAATCCAGTAAACTGACTGAACAAGATGAAACTGCATGGGGTATTGTTTTCTTGCATTTGTCTGATAATGTGATTAGAGGAATTGGTGAGACTAAGACTACAGCTGATTTGTGGAAGAAATTGGAGAAAACTTATTTGAATAAAGGTATACCAAATAAGGTTTTCTTCTAAAATAGCTTTTTTTATTTTAAACTTGATCATTCTCTTGACCTTCAGTCTAATATTTATAGAATCAACATATTAACTCGTGACCTAGCCAACTGTGACGAGAAACTCTCAAGTGGGCAGTTGGCTGTGGTTTTATTGAATTCAATTGGTGATAAATATAAAGATGTTAAAAATGCAATTGAATTTGGTAGGGACACTCTATCCACTGTTAGCTGTCCACCTTGCCAAAGTGGATTCTTGACTCTGGTTGTTCTTATCATATGTGTCATAATAAGGAATTGTTATCTGATTTTGAAAATATAACTGGCGGAAAGGTTTTAATGGGTAATCACATGGCATGTCAAGTAAAAGGTGTGGGAACTATCACTTTGAACTTAGAAGGGACTAATAAGTTGATTCTTGAGAAGACTAGATATGTTCCTGACTTGCAACGTAATCTAATTTCTTTAGGGGTTTTAGATGACCTTAACTTTGACATTCTTTAACATTGTTATCAATAAGGGTTACATTAAAATATTAAGGGACTCTCAACTGATTGTAGAAGTCCCCAAGAGACGTGGTCTTTATATTTTACAAACTAAAAATTTTTTGGAGTCCACTTCAACAGTAATCTCAGTCCCAAAAGATAAATCACAAATATGGCTGCCATATTGTGATAAAGGTCTTCAAATTTTGAAAAAAATAGGGTGTTTTTGGCAAAAATAACATTGAAAAATTGAGTTTTTGTGACTACTGTATTTTAGGAAAGTATAGTATAATAGACTACCTTCTTACCTGGAATGCATAAATCTGGCTCCATACTTGAATATTTGCATGTTAATCTGTGGGGACCAGCAACTGTGTGTACTCATTCTAGTTTTAAATATTATTTGCTTGTCATTGATGATTTTTCATGAAAAAAATGGACTTTTTTGTTAAAATCAAAATCTAACACTTTTAATGTTTTTAAATAATGGAAATTTTTAATTGAGAACCAAACTGAGAAGAAAATTAAAGTTCTAAGAACTGATAATGGTTTGGAATTCTGCAATTATGAATTTGATGAATTGTGCAAACTATCTGGTATGTTAAGGCATAGAACAGTCACACACACACCACAACAAAATGGATTGGCTGAAAGAATGAATAGAACTACCCTTGATAAAGTTAGATACATGTTGTTGTGTTCTGGCTTGCCTCAAATTTTTTGGGGTGAAGCATTTGAGACTTCTAGTTATCTGATAAATAGATGCCCTTCTAGTGCTATAGACTTTAAGATCCTGAGGGAAAATGGAGAGGAAAACCAATTGACTTCAGCAATTTGAGAGTTTTTTGGTGTGCAGCCTTTGCACACCAAACTGAAGGTAAACTGGAACCTAGAGCCCTTAAGTGTGTTTTTTCTGGGCTATGTGGAAGGGGTTAAAGGCTATAGACTATTGATGAGGGAGCTAAAAGGCTGTAAGGTCATTATAAGTAGAAATGTGGTATTTAATGAGGATTACCTATCCTGTTTTAAGTCTAAACAGCTACATGTAGACCTATTTCAGACGCCTGAACAATCTGAAAATGTGAGAAAAATGGTTGAGATTAAGGTGGAGCAACCTGGGAAGGGTTCTAAACATTCTGCCCCTCTAAATGGTGACCAACTTGAAGCTGAAACTGAACCTGGGGGTTCCTGAGGCTGTTTTAGAGCCTGTACTGCCCTTAGTTGATTACCAACTTGTTAGGGATAGGGAAAGAATGACCATTAGACCTCCAGCTAGGTTTGAAGATAATGTTTCCTTACTATCCTATCATGATATGATTGAGGATGAACCTGAATCCTATGAAGAAGCTTTGAGTAGCAAAGATTTCAAACAATGGTTTGCAGCCATGCAAGATGAAATGAAGTCTCTTCACGAAAATAAGATATGGATTTTGGTAAAAAGACCGGAGGGTAAAAGGGTTGTGGATTGTAAATGGATTTTTAAAATAAAAAGGGATGAACAAAGTGAGAATGACTTAAGATACAAAGCTCGTTTGGTAGCAAAAGGTTTTACTCAAAAAGAAGGAGTTGATTTTAATGAAATTTTTTCACCTGTAATAAAATTTACTACAGTTAGAGTCATTCTTGCTTTGGCCACTCAATTTAATTGGGAGTTAAACCAATTAGATGTAAAAACTACTTTTCTAAATGGAGACCTAGAAGAAACCATTTACATGAAACAACCTAGAGGATTTGAAGTTACAAATAAATCTGACTCAATATGTCTTCTTAAGAAATCTCTATATGGCTTAAAACAAGCTCCAAGACAATGGTATAAAAAATTTGACAATTTTGTGCTTGGACTTGGGTTTAAGAGAAGTAACTTTGATACTTGTCTTTATTGTAATGGTCAAGGTAGAGCTAATTCACTTTACCTACTCCTTTATATGGATGACATGATATTAGCAAGTCATGACATAAAAGAGATTGAGGAAATTAAAGACAAACTAAAATCTGAATTTGAAATGAAGGACTTAGGTCCGGTAAGAAAGATTTTAGGTATGGAAGTTAAGAGAGATAGAAAAGAAGGCACATTAAGTCTTAGTCAAAAATCCTGTATTTTGAAATTACTTATCAAGTTTTCTATGGCTGAATTAAAAAGTGTTAGTGTCCCCTTGGCTAATCATTTTAAACTATCAAATGATTTATATCCTAAAACTAAAGACGAGTTTGAAAGAATGGCACAAGTGCCTTATCCTAATACAGTTGGGTCCGTAATGTATCTCATGGTGTATTCTAGACCAGATTTGGCATATTCTATTAGAGTTTTGAGTAGATATATGGCAAATCCGGGTGAAACACATTGGGAAGCCATGAAATGTCTCCTTGGGTACATTAAGGGGATCTCAAACTTAGGAATTCAGTTTAGAAAACAAGCTGAAGGTGTTATTTTGAAAGGATTTACTAATTCTGATTATGCAGGTGATAGGGATAACAGAAAATCTACTTCTTCATACATGTATACTTTGTGTAATTCTTGCATAAGCTGGAAATCCTAGCTTCAAAAGATTGTGGCTTTATCTTCAACTGAGGCTGAATACATTGCAGCACCGATGCAATCAAAGAAGGAATTTGGTTAAAAGGGTTACTTAATGAATTTGGTCTTATTAAAGAAGTTGTTTTTTATTTTGATAGCCAATCTGCAATTCATTTAAGTAGAAATCCTGTTTTACATAATAGATCTAAGCATGTTGATGTTAGATTTCATTTTATTAGAGATGTTATTTCGCAAGGTGTTGTGAAACTTGAAAAGATATCTACTAATTACAACCCTACTAATATACGTACTAAAGTTCTACACTTAAACAAATTCCTGGACTGCTTGACCTTGTTGAATGTGATGCCCTGCTGATCTGTGGATGCAGCAACTGTGCTTATGAGTTCTGAAACTGATGAATAACCACTAATGAACATGAATCATTGTACCAAGGTAGAGTATGAAGGGAAAATGGCACAATGATGCAATAACCTATTGGGCTGAAATTGTTGGCCCAGCTAACTGAATTACTTGGTGCAAAAAAAAAAAAAAACGTGTGTTGATTGAATGAAGAAGTCGTGTTTTTACTTACCTTTTTGCACAACAATGAGTTGATTCTCTGATTTCTCTCTCTCTCGATTGTTCTGCGCCGTTCGAGTCTCTTCTCTCAATATTTCTGTTGAAATCAAAAATACTCTTTTGATTTCTTTGTTCTCTCGAAAGA